AACAGCCACGCAAACGACGAAGAAAGCAAGAAGCCAGGGGGGGACGGGGCCTGCGGGGCGAGCCGTGCGCCGGCGAACCCCTCCAGGTCAGGACGGGGCCAGAGCGGGCGGCTGGCCTGCCCTCCCCCTGCGCATGGCGTTGCGGCACGGCGCGGGCCGGCTCACCCGGTGTAGGTCCCGCAGGACGGGCAGCTGGTCGTGCAGGGCGGGCGTGAGGCGCGGCTTGAGCTGCAGCGGGGCAGGGGCGCCAGCGGGGGCGGCACGTCAGGACGGGGCGGGGAGCGGGGCTCAGGGGCAACAGACAGCGTCACCAGGGGGGGCGGGTGTGGGGAATAGCGTACAAAATCCCTAATCTCAAGAAGCATTCCCGATTCCGCCAGGCGCTAATGAAACATCCGAGCCCTTAGGTTTGCATCGAGCGGCTTCAATCAATTCAATGACTTCCACCAGGCGCCCGTGCGAATCTTGCAGACTTTGCAAGCGGGGTTCCGCCACAGGGTAGAATTGGACCGCCGACGGATGTCTCCTGAGATCCGGAATGTCCCGAGGGTCGACATTCGAAACCCGAGGTCGAGTTCTGTACGCTAGTCTCCTTATCCACCCTCCCAGAGCGTGCACACCGTGCGGGTGGAGGAGCAACGGGCGAACGCAGCAGCGGCGCCTGGCGCGGTGGGCGGGCGTACCTTGAGGACGACGTCGCGGCGGAAGTCGTCAAAGCGGTACTTGGCGCGGCAGCCCGGCTCCACCAACAGGTTGGTCACCGCCAGCCACGCCTGCGCCACGGGCGCCACAACCGCTGCTCAGCACCAGCGAAGAGACAAGGGGAACGCAACGCTTGGATGTGTGTACAGCTGAGGCGGCCAGGGCGAGTTTCCGGGTCCTTCCCAGCCAGACGCGCACCAACCCGTCCACAAGGTTGCACGCGCGCCAAGGCACAACCCCGAAGTGGGAGGGAAGAGGGCGATCCCGCGCCACGCTGCGTGTGCTCACCTGCGCATCAGGCTGCTGCAGCTTGGCGCGGTCCGCCGGGGGGATGGCCTGCCAGCGCCCGTCCACGTACCCCTCCACCTGGACACGCCCACCACGAGCTGCAGTGCGCCGCACGGAGCACCAGTTGCGCGATGCGCACAGAGGCAAGAGCAGCGCAGAGCAGGCTGCAGCAGGGCGAGGAGGCGCGCGTGGGCGCAGGGCGGGGGCGGGCGGCCTCACCAGCTTGCTGCCGTGGTGCACGCGGCGGCGCTGCCAGGGGGGGCTCAGGAGGAGGGGGACCAGCGTCATGAGGCAGTCGTGGGTGGTCAGCAGGCGGGCCTGCACCCAGGGGCGCGACACGTGAATGCCGCCCCCATCAGGCACAGCAAGCGAGGAGAGCGCGTGAGTAGGGCCCTTGGCGCAGGCCACGCACCGACGTCGGCCAAAGCGAGGCGCGTGCGGAGGTGGGGGCGGGCTCACCATGACACAGAGGGGGAGGTGGGGCAGGTAGTCCGTGAGGTAGCGCAGCAGCGTGAGGCAGCAGAGAGCCACGCCAAAGCGGATGGCGGCCGCCTGCACAGCATACCCACGGCACCCGGGTCATGCCGCGGCCGCCCAGCAGCGCCGGGCGAACATTCGAGCTGAGCCGGCCACCACGGCAGCCTCAGCGCAGCGCTGATGCAGCGGGCGGGGCGGGGGAATGGGGGCGTGGCGCACCTTGTCCTGCAGCTCCTGCGCAGGGGACAGCGCCAACAGCTCCGCCGCGCTGCGCTCTGCACGTGTGCGCACACACACATGCACGTCAGTACACAGGGTCCACGTGCATTGCGGGGACCCCAGAGGGGCAGCAGGAGCGGGCAGATTTGAAGCAGCCGGCCTGCCCGAGCGCCTGTCGACAGGCACAACAACTCGAGGTTAGCCCATCCAGGCTGGCACAAGCCGGGACGGCGGGTGGCCGACTGGATGAAGGGCATCGAGGAACAGCGCTGGGTTGCCTTCCGCCGACGGACAGTCGTGTCAAAGGGTTCGTCTCTCGAACACAAAACTTGTCGAGCAGCAGCATGGCTGCGCGGTGGGCCCACCCTTGAAGCTGGCATCCTGGCGCCCCTCTGCGTGGAGGTACACCATCTTGCGGTGGCAGAAATCCGCGAGCTGCACGCACAGCGCAGGGCACGTCAGGTCGCGGGAGCCGTCCAAGGTCGTGCCCAGGGGACTGCCAAGTGCTGCGCGGCGCCGGCCAACGAGAAGCAGGACCGCAGGCAGGGGCAGGCGCCTTGTGCAACATTCGGCAAGACCAATGCTGCTGCTGTACAGGAGGCCGTGGTTCATGTGGTGCTGCGACGGGCGTGGGTGGCGGGTGTGCACGTGGGCCTGACCTCGAGCAGCGCGTCCTCCCCCGCGGCCTCGCATGCCTCGCGGTGGAACAGCGCCACCTCCAGCAGGTTGGCCAGCGTGGCCTCGTGGTGCAGCACCAAGTACCTGCAGCGGCCCCCGCAAGCGTCAGCAGCAGCGCGCGGGGGGGCATGCCGGAACAGGGCCAGCCAGATGCAGAACGAGGCAGGTTCCCCTGGCAGGCGACAGCGGGCATGAGGAGTGAAGGGGGCAGTGGTGCAGGAGTAGCCGGGGCCTCTTGCTTACACATTGATGGACCCCCCCCCCTGGGCCAGCTCCGCAGCAATGAGCGGGTACACCTGGTCTTTCCACACCTGCACAGCCGCGAACAGGCAGGTTTACAAAAGGCTAAAAGGGGTCTCTGGTCAAGCCACGAGCAGGGCAGCTTGCAAGAAGGCCGATCAAGCAGGGGCCTGGCTGTAGCCCTGCCTCACACAGGCTGGCGTGAAAGTGGCCTGTGTGTAGAATTGAGGCATCGCTGCCCCTGGTGTCCTGTCTTTCTTTGTGGTGTTGTACAGAGAGCGCCGCACATCACCTCAATGACCAGCAGCTCATGGACCAGGAGCGCCAGCTTGTCGTACGACACCAGGGCCTGCCGGGAGAGAAGCGCCACAAATGTCCTTCAGCAGGGCTCGAGCTGGTGGCCAGGCAAATCCGGTTTGGCAGGCCGCGATGGCAAGCGCAATGTACAAGGGCAAGGACAAAGACGGGGAGGACAGAGACCAGCTGGTAGAGGGCAGGTGCGGTAGAGAGGGCCGGGCCACTGTTGACATCTTCCTGATGCTTCATCAGGCAAGCTCAGCCTGGAGTAGGGGGTGCAGCGCAGCAGCAGCTCTTCTACTCACCGCCATCACAAACTCGTCCGCATGAGCCAGTGCATTGTGGTGCGCCTGTAGAAGAATGAAACCATCGGAGGCTTTCTTAGGCTCTTTTGTTCTGAGAAAGACACGTGCCTTCATGTTGACTGGCCAGGTTGTCACTACAGATCCCAGTGAAGTGTTGGCTATGCAGCAGTGCTAGCTTGCGGCAGACAGCACGTCCTGTCAGCATAGCGAGCTGCAAAACAAGCAGCAACAAGTAGTGCCAGTAGTGGTGAACAAGATTGTGTGCATTACTTGGATGTTGAGCTTCTCCAGCACATCGTGCTGCTGCAGCCATGCCATGCTGCCCACCTGCACGAGACACACCAGAGGGGATGGGGAAGGGGCAGCCCAGGTCTGTGAGCAAGGAAGCAGCCGACAGTCCACACAAGGAGTACACCGGGGCTCTCAATTGAGAATGAGCCACGTCCAACCACTGATGCTAACAATCGCATATTTGAACCTCCCAGCTGGAAGTTGTGCACATCAGACAAATTGCACCAACCACTTTCAATGCAGCTGAGCAGAAAGCAGACTCTTCACAATAACAACACTCACATCATCAACGTCAAAAGGTTGGAGCTGATCAACAAGACGTTCGGCCTCAGGGGCTGTCAAAAGGACCTGCAAGTTCAACCATACCAGGAGTGAGGGAACACAAAAGGATAAATGCAGCTTACTTATGCACGAAAGTGCAATAACCACTTCTAGTCATCATTTGGGTGGTGTTTGTGCTTGATAAATCTCTTGGACGTCCAGCAATTAGAAGAAAGTTGTCATAACATACCCCATCTTCCGCACGGAGGTAGGGCGCTGGACCTCGGTCTTGGATGTCCATTTCTTGACAGACTGAAAGGCAAAGGACAACCCCACCAGGAGTTGGCAGCTCCTGTCCTCAGCATGTCCTGCAGCCTGCCCGCTTGTAGCTCAAACTTACTACCTAGTCAAAGTGCCTGCGTACGAAAGCTCTGGAACCAACTTTGATTCTGAACCGTGTAGGTACCTCCGGTGTGAAGCTTCGACTCGGTCACTTCATGAACGCGTGCACTCGGGTGCCACTGCAAAGCGCTGATCAAGACAAGGTACCTATGGCCGGCAGGCATTGGAATTTGGAACCCTAATTTCGGTGGCGTGTGTCGTGAAATCCAGGAGCGTCGTCCGATTGCAGGCCGATTGACCGGAATACATACAAACCGTCCGATGCTTGCCCTCATCGACGGCCTTTAACCTCGACGTCGAGGTCAGTTCATCGGGGTTGCTGATTGTGCGACACGTGGACTCCGAGTCCGGCAAGCCGGCCAGGCCCAGGCGGGCCAGGGCACGAGATCTGGCCAGGCCCAGGCCCCCAGTGACGCAGTGACTGTGTCGAGTCCAGGCCCCAGGGCTGCGTGAATTCCAAGCTCATGGTGGCAGATTGCTTCACTTTGCAAATTTCGACTTATGGAAGACGCCCTCAAAGCGTTCTGACAGAGACCTGAAGGTGGGCGTACGCTAAGGTGCAGCAATGGCTACCGGTTGGGGCGATGTGCAACCGCAGGAGCCAGCTAATGGTCCTCAGTCTCCGATGCAGCAGGGCGGCTACCGGCCTTCTCAGTATGTCCCGCCCCACCTGAGGAACAGACCTGCTGGCAGCCCAGATTCACAAGCTTATGATCAAGCAAGACCGAACGGCAGCCCTGCTTACAGCGGAGGTGGTCGTGGGTACAGCGGTCAAGGCGGCGGCTATGGGGGAGGGGGTGGGGGTTGGAGTTCAGGGGGTGGAGGTCGGTATGGAGGAGGAGGAAGACAGTCGCCTGGAGGCGGTGGGGGTGGCTGGAACAACAGGCCTAGGGAGAACGATCCATTTGCACAGTCCGAAGCTGAAGCAAAGCATGACGAGGCCATCTTTACCGCAGAGAACACAGGGATCAACTTTGACGCATATGAGGATATTCCAGTGGAAACAAGCGGGGAGAATGTGCCGGAGGAGATCAAATCTTTTGCAGAGATCGATCTGGGGGCTGCGGTGAATGCCAACATCGTGCGGTGCAAGTACACGAAGCCCACGCCTGTCCAACGCCATGCCATTCCCATTGCCTTGGCTGGCCGAGATCTGATGGCCTGTGCTCAGACTGGATCAGGAAAGACTGCCGCTTTCTGCTTCCCCATCATCGCCTCCATCCTCAGATCTCCTCCTCCTCCTGGCCGACCACGGGGAGGTCGGAAGGCGTTTCCGTTGGCCCTCATCCTTTCACCAACACGGGAGCTCACCAGCCAGGTAACACTTAGTCCAATTGGTGTCCAAGTCGGAGATGCTCTTGATACTGCAAGGGATCGGTGATTGACACGATTCAGCAGCAGATCTTGCACCTGTAGCCTGGTAGTCCTCAGCAATAGATCTTGATGGTACTTATCTAAGTATGTGTTGGGTCTTGTCGAAAGTATCATTTGATTCCTCTGCTGCTGTGCTGATCTGCACGTCTTCTTGACTGCAGATCCATGATGAGGCAAGAAAATTTGCTTTCCAGACAGGACTGAGAGTGGTGGTCATTTATGGGGGTGCTCCTGTTGTCAACCAGGTATGATCACCCTATCTTTTCCTTGATTGTTGGTGATCAGCAACAATGTGTCTGCTTTTTAGACAGACATTGGTGCTTCGATCCAAGCCACTGGTGTCCAGATCTTGTTCGGTGTTCAGAACAAGTTGCAACGGTCTGGTAATGGTTACAAGTTCTAGTTGGTGTCAGAACATTGCACCCACTGTTGAGATTGCCATCCCTATGCTAGATCAGATCTACGGATTTTGAGCATGATCATGCAGTCTTGCGATCAATAAAAACCTGCATGCCGGCGCTCGAGATGGTTGTGGCCTGTCTCAATTGCGTTCAAGCCTCTGACCTAAGATCAGGGTCTAGATGCAACACGAACTGTGATGGAATGCTATGGTTTGAGCGGGAGCACCTCTGATGGTGACCAGCGACCGGCATCGAAATTGACAGTAACAAGAAGCATTGGTTTATCTTTTGCTCCCTCTGCCTGAAGAGGTGGTGATAAGTACGGTCAAATATGAGCAGAACATTAGAGTTTCAAGTGCAGCGGAGTCACTTTGGGCATGGTAGACAATGAACGTGTACATGAGATCTGGGAGCTTGTGGTGCTGGCCCCAGCCCCCCGTGGTGCCTCACCCTCTGCTGCCTCTTGCATTTGCGCAGCTGCGTGAGCTTGAGCGTGGGTGCGACATCCTGGTGGCCACTCCGGGCCGGCTGAGCGACCTGATTGAGCGCGCGCGTGTGTCGCTGAGCTACGTGCGCTACCTGGCCCTGGACGAGGCGGACCGCATGCTGGACATGGGCTTTGAGCCGCAGATCCGGCGCATTGTGGAGCAGGAGGACATGCCGCGCACCGGCGACCGCCAGACCATGCTCTTCAGTGCCACCTTCCCCAAGGAGATCCAGGTGAGCGCGCAGGGCACCACAGGGGTCGGGGACTGGTCTTTGCGGGGGGTGGGGTGAACCTGTTCAGATTGTGGGTGGAGGAGTAGCTGGCTCCTGAGTGGGCAGGGGAACCAGGGGCTGCGCCTCCTGATCATGCCGCCTGCTGCCCCACTGAGCTGGGGCCTGTGGTGCGTGCAGAGGTTGGCTGCGGACTTCCTGCACAACTACATCTTCCTGGCGGTCGGCCGCGTCGGCTCCAGCACGGACCTCATTGTGCAGCACGTGCTCTTTGTTCCCATGAACGACAAGCGCAGCCACCTCATGGACCTCCTGCACTCCGTCGAGGTGAGCCCGGCCCTCTGTCACAGGAGCAGGGAGTGCGCGCCAGCATGACATGCTCTTCCGGATATGACCTCCTTGCTGATGCATCCCCCGTCTCCCCGTTCAACGCACCGTCCCAGCAGGATCTCGCGGGCCTGCCTGGCCAGGTCTTGTCCCGGGGATAGGCAAAAGCTGCATGCCCGGAAGCAGACTCAGCAACAAGAAGCTGAGGCGCGTTGGAGGTGTCCCTCTCCATGGTGTGCGGCGTCAGGCCTGCTGGGCGCTCACGCGTGTGGCGCACGTGCAGGGGCTGACCCTGGTGTTTGTGGAGACCAAGCGCGGCGCAGACGCCCTGGAGGACTGGCTCACGCGCATGGGCTTCCCTGCCACCACCATCCACGGGGACCGCAGCCAGCAGGTGCGCGCGCACACAGACGCCACCCCAAGGGCGCCAAGGGTGTCCCTTGCACCGCGTGGATGCTGCCCTCCCTGGGGCATTGACTGCTGCCCTGCTGGCAGCCGTTGCAGCTCTCTGGCGTGTGCCCCCCCCCCTCTCCCGTTGCCTGACGCTGTCGCCGCAACTGTGTGTGCAGGAGCGTGAGGCAGCGCTGCGGTCGTTCCGGTCGGGGCGCACGCCCATCCTGGTGGCAACAGACGTGGCAGCGCGCGGGCTGGACATCCCGCACGTGGCGCACGTGGTCAACTTTGACCTGCCTTCCGACATCGATGATTACGTGCACCGCATCGGGCGCACGGGGCGTGCGGGCAAGTCGGGGCTGGCCACCGCCTTCTTCAACGAGAAGGATGCCAACCTGGCCAAGCCGCTGACGGAGCTGATGCAGGAGGCCAACCAGGAGGTGCCCAGCTGGCTGCAGCAGTACGCCAGCCGAGCGAGCTATGGGGGGGGCGGCCGCTCCAAGAGGTCCGGCGGGAACAGGTGAGGCGCCGCAGCACGGCATGCGCAGCAACAGGCAATAGGGAGCAGGGCACCAGGGAGTGCGAGGGAGCCCTTGAGTGCTTGTCTGTGCGAGCTTGTGCGCGGTTGGTCTGCCAGGCTGAGAACCCGGGAAGTTGAGGTTGCAAAAACGCTATTAGCCATCAAGAGAGGAGGACGATTCGGATGGAGTTTGAAGTTGATTGATACAAGGTCGATGAGTGTTAGCTGTGGGCGATGGCGCTCGCAATCTGAAGGATGCGAGAGAAACGTGAGCCTCTGTCAAGCACATGGGCCTGCCTCTTGATTGTCCATTTGCCTGTATGTCATCCTCAAGTTACGCTCCACTTGAAGCTAGCACGTTCTTCGAGGTGGTCGTCATGTGATTCTTTGGCCGTCCATTGGGCCCACCTTGCTCGATTCATGTGCAGATTCGGGGGACGTGATTTCCGACGGGATGGCGGCGGTCGAGGAGGGGGCGGCTATGGCGGCAGTGGCGGCGGCTATGGCGGAGGGGGTGGCGGCAACTATGGCGGAGGAGGCGGCGGGTACGGCGGGGGTGGTGGCTATGGAGGGAGCAGCGGGGGCTTCAACGGTGGGGGGAGTGCATGGGATTAAGAGCGCGAGTGAGGGGTGTTAACCAGATGTGCGACGATGCATTGTTTTCGAGCAGAGAGTGTTACTGGCAGGTGGGGGCTTGGGCAGGGGATGTCCATTGACCGGAAATTGTTTTGTCCTCTTGATTCCTTGCTGCGTCCGCGGGCTGTACAGATAGTCGCATGTGGAGTCGACGCACTCTGGCTGGACTTTTAGTTTTCGAGGTACACATAGTAGGTAGGTACTTGGAGCAAGGGGCAGGTCGCAGGATCTGCGCACATCCTCCCACTACCAATCTTTGAGGGGCGACATAGCAGATTGTAGAGAGCCTTCTCTAGTGCTGCCCGCATCATACAGAGGTGACTCGCAGCTTCCACGTATACTGCTCTTGTTGGGCGCAATTGGTCCAATTGGGAGATAAACAGGGCAACGCATCATTTTGGTGGCGAGTTCGAACACTGACGCCATCGGAATGACCAGGCTGTGAACACTCGGATATTGAGCGGCACTAAAGCAACGTGATATTGTGCTGCCGAATTTCTGCTAGCGAAGCCGGCTGACCCGAATAGTACGGCATATGATCACTCTGCATCAGTGCACTTCGAAGGGTGTCGATGTACAATTTGGGGAATTCATGCCGAATGTTCGAGTCCTGTGGCTGTGGTGAGTCGGAAGTGTCTACTTGGCGGTGCAGTGCAAGACTACAGCTCCTGGAGCCCCAACCAGCTGGTCGTCTTGCACAGCTCTTGATTGAACACACGTCCTTTCTAGAGCTCACGCGCCAGCCAGATCATACCTAGCTAGATCCGAGTCCAAGGATCTCATCTTCTTGTTTCGTTGATCTGATGCATGGTTACATCACATGCCAGAAGCACATGATGTCAACTGCCAAAGTTAAGGGCCGGACTAGGATAGCAGCTCAGCGCACATTCATGAGTCAGGCAAATTATTGAAATATTAGACCCAAGTGCACATGCATGAATGAGGTGTTGGGCATGATGCAGCTGCAAGGAGAGTGCTCAGGTCGCTCATATGGTTCTTCAGTGTGAATGCACATTGCCTTGTACTGCCAGGCTGGTGCTAAAGATGCAGACAAATGCACCTGTCAGATTGATTACTATGAATTATCAAATGAATTCAGCACGGACGCAGATTTTGTGGTCTCTGCATGTTCTCAATGCAAAAGGTCTGTGATGACTTCAAGCCGCAACTGCAGTCCCGCGAGAGACCACGACAGCAACATCAACGCCTTAATAAGGTCCCCTCTATGGCCAGGAACCGGCTTGGCCATGTGCAAGGATACTTACCATGTGTATGATAGTCAATTTGTGCTGATGTCGCCCGGATTTTTAAGCCGTTTTGACTCGAATTTTACAACGTTCGCACTCTTCCCCAAATATGCAGACAGCAATGCCAACTCTTCATGATATATGCTCGAGCGTGCTAACTTTCAGGTAACATATTCCATACAACCTTATTGTGCGGATTTGTCAAGCCGGAAGGGTGTCTGCGCTTTTCAAGCACGACAGCATAGGCCTGAACTCAGCCAAAAGCTCTTGATACCTTCAAGCGGGGATACGACCCGCCCAGTGCACTTGCTCGAGCACTCTGCGTGATGGAAGCACTGCGTGGGCTGCAGTTATGTGGGAGGCGGCGCCGTCCAGTGTTCTGCAACCGGCCCCACGTCGTGGATGATCTCGCGGTGGCTCGACCACACCAGCTGGATGGCCTCCCGTGTCCCAATCCCGGCACCCCGCGGGTCGCCGCAAGGACCGAACCTGGCATGCGACGGGCGCGCTGCTCAGCTCAGGTGCAGCGAGATCAGGCGAGCAGCGGTGCAGCTACGTGGACAGCGGGGCGCGTGCACAAGAGCAGCACGGGACCAGGGTCCTCCACAAAGAAGGGCCGCCAGTTACACCCGGGGCACCTGTTGGCCGCCGTGGCCGCTCACCAGTGGTTCTGCGGCGCCCCCGTGGTGCGTGCTCTGATGCCCGCGTACGTGGTGCCGTTCACCGTGCTGCCCAGCACCTCCTGCACGCACGCCGCCACGCGTCAGCGACAGACACCCAGCCATGCGGGCGCAGAGAGCAGGCAAGGAGACGGGCAGCATCCGCCCCGCCCGCGTCTCTGTTTGGCAGCACAGCGCGCGCGCAGGGCGGGGAGCGGCTGACCTGCAGGAAGAGCGCGTCGTTGGAGACGACGGCGGCGGTGAGGTGCGCGTGCATGCGCTCCAGGGCCTCCAGCACGGCCGGCAGCTGCGCGCTCGTGTACGCCGTCAGGATCTGCGCGCACACGCCAGGCTCAGCAGGGGGGCGCCACGCAAGCGGGGCGGCAATAGAAGCTTCTTACGCCAAGAGGTGCAGGCCGGCGCCGGCAGAGAGGAGCGGGCGTCGGCCCGCGCTCCGTGGGGCCGCTGTGCGGCGTGACGTCCCCCGGCTCTCGGGCGCACCTGGAAGGGCCCGAACACCTCCGTGGTGGCCAGGCGGAAGGCCTCCTCCGACCCCAGCAGCGTCTCCAGCGGCACGAACACGGCCGTCGGCTCAATGGCGCCGTACACGGGCGGGATGCGGTGCCCGCGCAACGGCTGG